TCGTGGACAGGCTGTACGTGAAGGCCATCTTCACCGGCTATAAGCGATCGCTTCGTAACCAACGCGAGAACACAGCGCTTCTTCGGCTGGAAGGCGTGAACAGGAGATCCGAAACGGACTTCTATTTGGGTAAACGAGTCGCTTATGTCTACAAAGGCAAGAGGTTTGTGTCCACTGCCCGGCGATCACTCGATCTGATCCGCCGTTTTCGATGCGTGTGATGTCTATGTGACTAACGATTGGTTTGTTTTTCGTACGTATAGTAAGAGCCGAATCCCGCGCCGGGAGGGAAAGACCAGCAAATTGAGGGTAATCTGGGGTAAAGTGACCCGAAGTCACGGCAATTCGGGTGCCGTGAGGGCCAAGTTTGCGAGGAATCTGCCGGCGCTGGCCATCGGACGCCGGGTGCGAGTCATGCTCTACCCGTCGAGAATATAATCGCATTTTTGGTGTCATTTTGTTTAATAAGTAATCAATAAATTTCTGAATTNCGGGTGCCGTGAGGGCCAAGTTTGCGAGGAATCTGCCGGCGCTGGCCATCGGACGCCGGGTGCGAGTCATGCTCTACCCGTCGAGAATATAATCGCATTTTTGGTGTCATTTTGTTTAATAAGTAATCAATAAATTTCTGAATTATAACAACAAATTGATTGCAATTTATTTTTATGGAGAAATGTATTGTATTTTTTTGGGTTAAGTTTTTTAATTGTACTGTAGTTTGTAATTAGCGTTTGATTGCATTAGCCGTGTCTACAGATAATGTGGACACTGGTTGGTTACGAGACCTGGACTTATTTCAACACAAAATTGGTGTTTTTTTGCGCCAAAAATGTTGATTTGGTTTACGAATGCAATATTGAGTCAAAAGTTTGCATTTTGTTTGCAAATTGCGATTAAGTTTGTATTGAGTTATACGAGAGATAACTGTAATTAAAAAGCTTTGAAAGCCTGCGCCCATACATAAGTGACTTTCCTGTGAACCAATCAATTAGTGGTGAGTTTTCATTGCAATTAAAACTGCGGTTTACTCTGGATGTCAGTCAAAGGGGTATAGATATGGCAATATTAATTTATACCACATTATTCTACACTATTTTGTGAGTTATTATCACTCATTAAAATGGGCGAATGGCCGGACACTTCTTCGGGAGAC